AGCCAGGAATGGAGGCTGGTGATGTCCTCGTATTCACTGAGGCGTTGATGCATGGGACTTTACCGTGGAAAGGAACGCATACGAGGAGAACTTTGCTGTTCCGCTTTGGACCTGCAACTTGTGCTTACGCCAGAGGGTAAGAAGCGTTCGAGAGTGGATTCAACTTTAGTTTGAATTGAACTTCCCGTGTAGGTATCTCTGTAGTCCGGCTGAAATCGCCAAGCTGAACTTATCCGAAACCGCTAAGGAGATGCTACTACCACCGTATCACTCCCGTTATGATCGTGCTGTTGCTTCGCAGCGCTCAGAAGAACAGTTAGACTACGATAGAAAAGTCTTTGGCCAGCCCTATTATTGATGCTTAGTCACTCATTATCATAGTCTCTTTCTATACTCTGCAGTTGTTCGATTTCGGGCAGGATTGTGTCTTGGTTTTGGGAATCAACTCACTAGGTTTATATTTTCGTGAAGCACTGAGCATGGAGGCCCGACCATCTTTACGACGCTGGGGTCGAGTCCCAGCCATTGGGCTGGCTGCTCTCCAGGGGTTATGGTAGTGACTCTCGGATGGAAGGTGATGCTCTGATAGCTAGTGCCGTCTTATCTTGGTGAGCAGTGCTACCTGCTGTATCTGTGCATAAGGGCCATTCTAGTGAAGGCTTCCGGTTAAGTGATCGCGGGTGAAGGGGTTCGTGCTTACTACGAGGAGGCCAGTGCGAGGGGGTGAGGACAGACCGTGCTTGCTGAGTGGTTATTGGTATGTTAGCAGCGAGACCTAATGGAGTGCCGCGGCAGTAATAGTTTGAATGGGCCGTGCCTGCTCGGTCAATCTACTGTGCAGGAAGATGCATGAGATTCCGTTGCATGGACGCGTACATGTACACTTTGTGGTGGACCCAACGAGTCAGCCGGACATCAAAGTGAGCCACTCAGTGATGCACTTTTACGGTTGTCCCGCTCTTCGAACAGGTGGTAAGTGTAGGTAGTGTAGGGCTCGGGGAGGTCCATCTGCTTGCATCAAGAGTAGCCAGTTATTCGCAGCTGGGGAGATAATAGGATGATCATAGTCATCGTTAGTTAGCTATGATGATGTTACAGGTCTATAACGTGACGGGGTTGGGTAGCTCAAGGAGTTGGTCCGCTCACATCGCAGGTGAGAACAATAAGGCGATCCCTCGCCAGGACTCTCATCGGAAGTATTCTTGGAGTTGAGCCGGTGGATGGTGTGATCAGTTACGGAGGGCCAACCAATTTTTCGCGTCAGAAACTCGCGAGCGCGAAAAATAATGGTCATGGTCCTTCTTAGTACCCTCTACCGACTCTGTCTAACATTGGACTCGCAGTTCAATACGTCTTCTAGGGAACACCACACCTCAGTGGTGTTCCTTGCAAGACGTTTTGGACCCGACTGTTGGGTATTTTCGAACGTTCAAAGGGTTATTATGCCTGGTCAAAGCCAGAAGCCTAGTTCGGCATCTCTTTCAACTCACTCCGGAGACTTGCTCTATACATACGACTTGATCAGGCGCTGGAGTTCTCGGTCCAACTTTCATGGTCTAACTCTGATACCTCGGGAATGCTCGAGCTTTTTTGTGACGATTCCAGCAACGGGGATAGGTACTCAGTTATTCAGAGTAGGCCTTAATAGCAAATTATTCAATCACTTCATATACTTGAGAGTGGTCTACATGAGTGAACCATGAAAGGGTTCATGCAAGGTGTGCGCGAAAATACTCATCCGAGTATACATAGAGGCATCCTCCAATTGACCCCCCTAAGAGCAGTCGTCACAGCAGGTGGTAGTGTGACCGTCGGAAATCAACATGCGTGAGGTTCGCCTCTTGATCTGGATTCGGAAGGGACTTGATGCTCACCTTGATTGACGACCACGATGACATAGCCGCCACAGAGTGTGGTCCGGAACTTCCTTGTATCAGTTACCCTTATCAAATCGCTTCGTCTCCTACAGGGAGCCTGGCAGACGGCGTTTGTCGTCAAGGCCCAAGGTCACTCATTGAGCCAGAGGTCGCCTACTCGATTTTGGGGCGCGTGTTCCATCTTATAAAATAGTTGAGACATGATGACACAATTTTCCATTGTGCCACTAAGTCATTTATGTCAGAACACATAATGGGTGGCCAATAGGTTCGAGACCGGT